GGAGGTAACGAAGTAGTTGTTCAGAGAATGCTTTGTTTTGGGACGCTGATGTGAGGGGGTTCCTCATTCACCATGTTAAACAGTTTGGTTCAGACATTCACGTGCCCTCAGGAGAAGTTTGCCTTCAGGTCTTTCTACCAGAAAAACGGTTTCTTTGATCTTTTCCTAACCCTAACCATTAGGTTTGTTGCCGAAGCCTTAGGAGATTTCCAGTAGAAAGGCCAAATTCTCCCATGTGCCATGCGCACGTCCCCGTCAAGATGAATTGAGGGCTTTTCACCTTGCGCCAGCATCAGGTCAAACATGTAACCTGATCAATGCTATCAAATACCTGCTAGCTAAACTTACGATCCCTTTTTGTTTAGCCCCAGTTAGCGAATGTTAGCATGCTAACATGCTAAGCCAAGACCATGAACATGGGAAGATTATACCTGGTAAACACCAATGCGTTAGCATTGCTCATTGTGACCAGGCTAGCATGCCGGCATTAGCATTTAGGTCAAAGCACAGCTGTTCCGAAGTACAGCCTCGCGGGGCTGCTAGCATAAATGTAGTGTAAACTCTTGAATCTTTTCTTGTGGTGGGTGTCACACTGATTAATATGAATAAAACTGTGTTAACCGAGTTCCAAACTGATGGCACATCATGAAATCGTCCCTGTGTTCCCAGGGCATTTGTCTCTTGATACAGACTTGCACTGTAAGTGATTGGTATGGGTTATCTTTGCAGTTCAAACATACATTGAACATGTGAGCAAGGAAAATGAAAGGCCTCCTTAATGAGAGTTATATTTAGGATATTGAGCTGTGGAGCATAGATACACTGCCCATAATGACCACATAAACCGCACAGAGCAAACCAGTCAATAGTTTTCTACAATAACTGCTCTTTCGTAAAAATGAAAGGAGCTGACAAATAGCTCAGCTCACACCCACATATGCACACTTCTACTTTATAAACGCTTGTTCTTCAGTATTCTGCCGTGTGCCCCTGCAAGTATAGACAAAAAATGTAATTGTGTGCAACCACTACTTTCCTCTACTTTAATGAGCTCATTTACACTTTTCCCAGGATACAAGAGCGTCGACAGCGTTCCAAAACTGGTGGAGGAGTACATGAGCAAGAAGCTCAAAGTGGACGAGTTTGTGACTCACACTCTGCCCTTTGAGAAGATCACTGACGGTTTTGATCTCATGCATGCTGGGAAATGGTAAGCCTCCGTTTAAGATACATTTTTGAAGTGTGTTTTTTGTTAACGTGCGCAGTGATCCAGTGTCCCTCTGGGTTCGGCCCGTTAAAGGCGCTTTGGGTCACTGCTGCCCTCTGTTGAGGACAAAGCTGATATGAGTTTGACAGGGTTTCATATTAATGTGCACCACCAGAGGTCTTATGACGTCTTTCCTCAAATAGGAGCTCTAATTCAGTCTGTAAAAGAAAAATACAACAATCTAAATCCGATCTTCATCTTCCAGCATTCGTGTCGTCCTTCAGTTCTAGAAGCGAAGGAGCGCAGGAATCTCACTCCGCGTCTACCCTGCTCAGTTCAATAAATAATCTTTCAATTCCCTGTTCCAGTGTGTTTTATTTGAACAATACACAGCCAGATACCTCTTTGATCAGCGCTTCACCCCCCCACCCCACCCTGAAGGAACGTGCGTACACCGCAGAGAGAACACCATGTGAGGGGGGGAAAACACAGGAACCACAACAAGATTGTTGTGAAATATTCTTTGATCTATGCTGAATGAATAATGAGGTAGTACAACCACAAACATCCGGATGGCATCATGGCTGGATGGGCGTTAATTGATGAGGATTTGGAGTGCTTCTTTTCGAGAGCAGCCCGGTGAAGTTGTTGGGAGAGAGCGTGTTGAAAGACCGAGCAGACGAAGTGAAACAAGTCTGCTGGAAACGCATTCAAAATATCCTTTTATCATTCTCCCTGAAGGATTGGAGAACAAGGCTGGTCTGTCAAGTTAAGTTTTCACCGTCAGCGCAAGTGTCTGTATTCGGGCTCTGGTGATGTGCCTTCATTTCCCCCCCCCCCCCCAAAAACGTTGACCCAAACTGGAGCGGACTTGAGAGGATTACGACAACTTGCTTGCGCTCAGCTGTGTCATACTCAGTTAGGCGGAACATGTCAGCGGCCATGTTTTCCCCAACAGCTGAGTACAAGCTCTACAGCTGGAACCCAGAAGCTAAGTTATTTTTCCCCCCTCAGTATTTCTACTGTCTTTGAGGCGAACGTGGATGATTCTTATGAGGACGCATCTTGAAATGGATGGTTCAAAAGGGCTGTGGGCCTTTTAGCAGTATGGGGTTAATTAAGAATTTAGCAAGTCAGTTTTGCACACCAGAGGAGCAAATTCACAAAAGGATTGCGCACCTTTTGCGGATGCTAAACCTGCACAAATAGGACAAAGATACTGTGATTCTTTGTGGTATTCGCATGTATGTAAATTATGTGCAGACAACTGGTGCAAAATTGGCCCCCGTTCTATGCAGATGAGCCCCATTTCAAAAACAGTCCAATTCACAAAGATCAGTGCTAGCAGCCAAACATAGTTACAGTGAATCATTTATTTAGGAATGCAGTGACAGGGTGTAACAACAATAGAAAACTCGCCTACATGTCATTTTTGAAAATACATGTGAAAAAAAAAAAAATGAAAATTAAGTTTATTATGTAAACAAATGAATTGTTCCCTGTTAATGTCACTTTGAGACGGGGCAGCGGCTGCAATCCATTCTTTGTGAATTCACCCTACAAACTGGTAATGACACCCGCACCTTTTCTGTTATGACAATTCAAAATGGCTGCCATCAAAAAGAAAAAAGCATTCTCAAATTTATACCATTGTTTGTTGATGGGCTGTGTCCAATAACACTTTAAGTACTCAATATCTGCTGAACTCCTTCCAACCTGTCTACAGCATGAATTACCATTTATTAGTCACTACAGACTAAATACTATGAAGTCATGTCTATGGGCACATAATAGAGCCATGTCTGTATCTAAAGGTTTACTGATACATTCACACTCAATGTAGCTTGAAGTAAACTAACAGCGTCATAATCTAATCTCAAATGCAGCTTCGAGCATCATTGTACTCCACTTAGTTTACAAAGGCTTTAAGGCTCCCAGGTAGCCAGACAGTCGTTCCTCGTAATAAAAGGCTGGTGAATTAGACCACTTTTGGGATTTGGATCACCAGTGAATCCAAGGACAAACTCGCCCACACAGAGCTACAGAAGAGTCATTTATTACTCCATTAGAAGAGATACAAAGATGGCAGAGAAGCCACACATCACATTAGTCCTCTGAAAATAAAAAGAACGAAACGCTGCTCGCACCGGGAAAATCCCCCACGTCAAGGTAAATGGTGACCGTCGAGATGAGGGGGTCAACATCGGTTAACCCTGCCTTGAGATATCCGGCATGTTTTGATAACTAGATTCACACATTAAGGCTCAATTTGCTACACCCGGGCTATCGGAAAAACACGAGACGCCAAGGGAGACTTCCTCGAAGCCGGATCAACGAGCTCAGCACTCTCGGTGACGTTACTCTCACACAGGACATCTTTGCAGATGCTCTCTGGTTGCGTCAGAATTCTCCTAGCAACCAACGGCTGACGACTGGAAAACTTGACTGTGTACTAATAATAGCCACATTCAGGATATGACACTTGAGTTGAGAGTGCTACTACTGAACACGTCACCAGCTAGATGGACAGTGATAGTTGCCTTGGTGCTGTGATTAGCCAACAGGCTAACATGAAGCAATCAAATCAATGGATTCATTTTATTTACCAACCTGTACAGACATTAGATCATCCTTGGAAATGTGTTAATTTTGCTTTCTTTCTATGACGTAATTGATAAGAGTGATACAACTCTCATATCTGTGCATTGAATGTTACAACCTGGAGCGTTTAGCTTAGCGTAGCATAGCTTAGAATGACGACTGGAAACAGGGATGCAGCTAGCCTGGCTCTGTCCAAAGCTAACAAGATCCACCTACCTGCACACCGAAAGCACATTAATTAACGGGTTAATAACATTTACTACAACAAATCGTCTGTTTAATCCATCCAGAAAAGTGTAAAGTAAAATTTACAAATTGTGGTTTTAAGAGTTGTGTTTTTCACTACATTTTTTTGTACGAAATAAACTATTTAGGTATAATGTGTGAATTGCTGTGCTTTCAAGGCCCAGGCTAGCTGTTTCCTCCTGATTCCAGTCTTTATGCTAAGCTAAGCTAACTGTCTCCTGGTTGCAGTTAAATATAGAAGGGACGATCACGAGAGTGGTATAGATCTTCTCATTAAACTATGGGAAAGAAAGCGATCAAGAGTGTGTCCTAAAATATCAAACTAGTCCTTTAGATATGTCTGTTGGTGAACTCTGCTTCTGTTGCAGAAGAAGTGCAAGAGGATGATTTTTGTCGACTGAAATTTAAATTGAACTTAACGTTTTTCAACTTATTTTCTAGATCTGAAAGAAGTTTTGAGTTGCTAGTTGTTGAGGCTGTGAGACTTGTTGAACCAGTTTCCAGGAACCATCCTTCTTGTGTTTAGTATTGCTGATTCTTTTCGATCCGTCTCTGGGAAATTCATATGAATTGTGATGAAGTTAGCAGAGGTTGGGAGAAAAGACGCGAAGCATGGCGTACTAGTCGGATTTGCCCTGAGCACCGCACCACACACACACACACACACACACACACACACACACACACACACACAC